TTTTTTTTTTTTTAATCTTTGTAGCTATCTTATTTAGGAATTGAATGCAAGGCAGTTTGCCCAATGCAGTTCCCAGCTGACTTTTTCGTTTGTCTTAGCGATTTGGGGTCCCAAGATTTTTCTTTTCACAAGTGGCTAATGCCTGGTATAGACCCTAAGTTGGACCTGGAGTGTCCCATTCTTTGTAGATTTCCACTGAATCGCTGCTGCCTCCAGTGAAGTAGTTTAAGCTCCTCACTAGCTCACCTCCCTCAGTGTTCCTCAGCCATTCAACACATTCTGATTTGCAGTGTGCCAGTACCAAATGCCTTCTCATTTTTCTTGCAGAATTTAGCCTACGAAATCATCCTAACCCTGGGACAGGCCTTTGAAGTCGCTTACCAGCTAGCACTACAAGCAAGAAAAGGGGGACACTCCTCCACACTTCCAGAAAGCTTTGAAAACAAACCCTCCAAACCCATCCCCAAGCCCCGCGTTAGCATTCGCAAATCCGTGGTAAGTAGAAAAGATATAGATGTTCTAAAAGCCTTGAACAGGAGGGAAAGGGGCTGCTAAGCTGGCCCTTGCATGGTATGGGTGCCATCTGAATCCAGGGCCTCTTGTTCATCCTTTCCCTTGGCCTCCTCCCAGCATGTCTGCATCATCATCTCAGCCTGGTTCCTACCAAGTCTTAGGGACCATCTCCCTCAACTTGCAGCCTCCAGAGAAATCCACTTTCTTAGTCACCTGCAGCAACCCTATGAAGGGTCTCAGCAGCAGGTACTGGCCGTTTTTGGTGAATCTTACCTAAAGGTTCAGGAAAGCTTGGGAGCAGTACTCCCTGAGGCTTCAGCCACCATCCCATCAGAGGACAAAGCCTCCTGCAAGTCCCTGGCCTCCAGAGAGGTGTGCAGAGGTACACAGTGATGATAGCCTCAGTCCCCAGCTAGAGGCAGCTGGATGCACAGGCTGCTCTGCTATATGCAAGGCCTGCGCCATGGCCCGGGTGCTTTGCCTCCCACAGCTGAGGCTTCCTGCAACGTGGTGACTGTTCAGAGGGTGCAGCCCCTCCTTCTCGGCATCTGCCTTCCTCCAGGAATTTCCTCCCCTTCCCTCCCACAGGGCTCTGCAGACATCCTGTCCCAACAGGCTTGCATGACTTCAAAGCGGCCTCCTCTGGTAGTAGCAATATCCAAAAGCTGGAAGTTTCCCAGCCAGCCTCCCATCTGGTTTCTGCCCCGGCTGCCGTATTGCATCCTAGAAACCCTGGGACTCCCCCAGAATGCATTGCTCTCACGCCCCCAAATCCTTCCATCTGGAACTGTCTCTCCTCCTCCTCACCAGCCCCTACCTTCACTCTCATGGGGGAACAGCAGGCATTTTTAACATTTGCAGGGAGGCACCTCCCTTTGTGACCATGCAATTCTTGTTTCCAGTCTTCTTTTGGGGCCCTACCCGTCATTCTTCTTGGCAACATCAACGTCCACAGGGATGACCCCTCCAGCATATGCTCTCACAGTTCCTTGACAGTTTACTTTCATGATCTTTCCTTCTGGCCCCAGCCGTTCACTCCCATGCCCATCACTCATTACTGATCATTCCCAGGAGCTGCACCTCCTCTGAAGTCTTCTTCCAGCAACACCCTCTGAGCCCCTAACCCAACTCAACACACTAGCTCCCAGTTCTCTGTCTCCAGCCCTGGGCATCCCCCAACTCCAGATTCATGTGGCCAACTTCTTCTTTCACATTTCCGCCTTGATGCTTCACAGACAGCTGAAACTTAGCATGTAAAGAACACAATTCCTGCTTTTCCCCTTAAACCTCTTCTCACCATCTTCCCCACCCCACAGCCACTCACCATGTTACTCAAGCCCAAAGTCTACAAATTAGCCTGGACTCCTGCCTTACCCTCACCTCTGTATCCAACCCAGGAGCAGATCCCATCCATTGCACCCCTAAAATATATCTCAGTCCACTCTTCCCCACTTCCTCCATCTCTCTTCCAGTCTGGGCCACTGCCACCTGGCCCCAGGCCTATACAGTATAGCTCCTTGAGACTCCCCTCCCGACACAGCAGAGATCAGTCATGGCACCCTGTGCCCCAAGTACCCAGAATGCAGTTTCCCACCACGGTCCTCTTTAATGCTCAGGTATTCCTGTTCCTTGACTATATAACGCTCACTCCTAACAGGTCTTTAGGCCACCTGTTCCCCACACCGGGAATATCCTCCCCTGATTTCTGCATGGCTGACTTCGTCTTGTCATTCAGGTCTTGGCTACTTGAAGAGGCAGATGTCCTGACCATCCAATCTGACATAGACCCTCAGTCACCTTCAAGCATGTCATCTACTTTTAATTCTGTATAACATTTATTAATTGAGGGTTTTTTTTTTAACTGATGGCTTGTTTATTGTCTACCTCCCTCCACAAAAAAGTAAGTTTCATGCACACAGGGACCCCACCTGTCTTGCCACCACCAGAACCAGGCCCATAGCAGGTGCCCAGTGAATATCTGTGGATGAAGAAATGAGGGCCTGTGGATGGATTTCACACGTATATCTTTGAGACTGATTAGGCTGTTAAGTGTCCAGGAATTTGCAGAATGTTTCTGAGATTATCTCTTAGACTATTGTATTCATTCTCATGTGGGCTGAATAAATCTGTTCACAGCAGGTGCCTCTAACTGACCTCACCCCGCTCCCCATAGGCTTCTTCCAGAAGAGTACAAAGGGTTGGGTGCCATAAGAGCTTGTAGAATATTCATCCAGATGCCTTCACTGGGAAATAGGAACATACACAGTGAATAATACTGATATCATTTACCTGCTTCAAGGTCAGTCCCCCTCGACAGGCGTTAGTATTCTGGTTCCCTCAGCTCTGGGCATTTCTTGGTAAGAAATATTCAGTGATCCCTAAGAACACGTGGGGTCCTTCCCACAGCCTTATGAAGATATAGTCAAAGCACGGTAGAAGGCAGCTGCATGGTGCCAGAGAAATGGGAGAGGCCTTCCCGCAACCCCAGACTCTAAGCAGAGTAGGCAGCTAGAACAGGGCAGGCAGACCTGGAAACACCAAAAGAAGAGGCAGCTGTGGTACAGATCTCACCCTGGGGTCGTTCCTGAGAGCAGACAGCCTGGTCCGACCCCAGGAGGGGCCTGTTGTATTTGTATGCACAGAGACACCCAGTCACCTTCAAGCATGTCATCTACTGTGTAGCATTTAATTCTGTGTAGCATTTATTAATATTAAAACCATTTTAGAACCCACCTGGGTTTGGCTCAAGGCTCAGCCTGACTGGGCCCCTGCTCACCTCCTCGTCCTCAGTTGTCTGCCCTCCTGATTCCCAGCCTGTAAACTGACCCCAACCCCTCAACGACCATTTTCCCTTACCTCTGGGACTCTTTTTTTATTGCTATGTGATATTTTGACACATATATACAATGTGTAATGATCATGTTAGTAACTGAGATATCCATCTCAAACATTTTTGTGTTGAGAAATTACAATTCTAGCTATTTTGAAATATACAATAAATTATTGTTAACTATAGTCACCCTACTGTGCTATCAAATACTAGAACTGACTCCTTCTATTTAACCATATTTTTGTACCTATTAACCAATCTCTCTTCATCCCTACTCTCCCTTCTTCACTTTCCAACCTCTGGTAACCACCATTCTACTCTATCTCCATGAGATCCACTTTTTATAGCTTCCACATACGAGAAAGTGCAATATTTGTCTTTCTGTGCCTGGCTTATTTCACTCAACATGATGATCTTCAGTTCACCCATGTTGCCACAAATGACAGGATCTCATTCTTTCTATGGCTGAATAGTATTCCATTGCGTATATATGCCACACTTGCTTTACCCATTCGTCCATTGATGGACACTTAGTTTGATTCCATGTCTTGGCTACTGTGAATAATTCTGCAATAAACATGGGAGTGCAGATACCTCTTCAATATACTGATTTATATATATATACACACACACACACACACACACACACACACACATACATATATATATATACACATACATATATATACCCAGTAGTGGGATTGCCGGAATAGATGGTAGCTCTGTTTTTAGTTTTCTTGAGGAACCTCTGTGCTATTCTCCATAGTGGCTTTACTAATTTATGTTCCCACTAATGGTGTAGACGTGTTTCCCTTTCTCTGCAGCCTCACCAGCATCCGTTATTTTTTGTCTTTTTGATAGTAGCCATTCCAACGGGGGTGAGATGGTGTCACGCTTGGTTGTCATTCGCATGTCCCTGATGATTAGTGATGTTGAACATTTTTTCCTATACCTGTTGGCCATTGTATGTCGTCTTCTGAGAAATGTCTGTTCAGTTCTATGGCCTACTATTTAATCAGAGTGGGTTTTTTTTCCTATTGAGTTATTCGAGTCCCTTATTTATTCTGGTTACTAATCCCTTGTCAGATGGATGCTTTGCAAATATTTTCTCCCTTTCTGTAGGTAGTCTTTTCGCTTTGTTGATTGTTTCCTTTGCTGTGCAGAAGCTTTTTTGCTTGATGTAATTCCATTTGTCTATTTCTGCTTTTACTGCCTGTGCTTTTGAGATTTTACCCAAAATATCTTTGCCCAGACCACTGTCCTATAGTATTTCCCCAGTGTTTTCTTCCAGTTCTTTATTGTCTCAGATCTTCTGAGCCTTTAATCCATTTTGAGTTGATTTCTGTATATGGTGGAAGATGAGGCTCTGTTTCATTCTGTGTATAGATTATTCTGCGACTTCTGCATGTGCTGTTTCATCTACTTCAAATGCCCCCTTCTCCTGTCTTCAGGCAAATACTTGCTGGTCCTTTGGCTGTCCGTTTAAATATTACCTCATTCTTTCAATACCATTTATTCGACAAGTATTTATTGTATGCCTACTATTTAGGGGGTTGCCAGGAGCTTTTCTGCGTTTTGGAAAAAATGGCAGGGAAACAGAATCCTGCCTCCATAAGCATACATGGCAGTAGAGGATGAACAAATAAATATGAGGTGACGCATGTGGCAATAAGTATTGTGAAGAATAAGGCAGAAGAGAAGAGCCAAAAAAGTCAGGGTGCTTTTTGTAGGAGTGAACAGGTAAGGCTTCTAGGAAGAGAGGTGGCAATGGAAGTGGCATTTGAGCAGAGATCTGAATGGCATTGGAGCATGAGGCTTGCAGGTGTCCGAAGAAGGGAACTCGGGCAGAGCAGAAGAACAGCGTAGAGGCCCTGGGCGTGGGCTTGGTGGGCAGAAAGAGCAAGGAAGCTGTGTGGCTGGAGCACAAACGTCAGGGGTACTGGAGGTCACAGTGGGGAGTTCAGGTTTTGTTCTGACTGACTGTGATGGAAACCACTCAAGAGGGAGAGCTGGGGATTGGCATGGCCTGATTCACCTCCTCCAGGAAGCCCCCCCTGGCTCCCGAGGTGTGTGCCCACAGAGTGCCCTCTCTTCCCCTCGTGTCTCACCTCTCAGCACTAAAATCCGCCTCTGTCTGCTCCCCGTCTGTGTGCTCACAAGGGCAAGGGCTGTGCCTCATTCACCATCACCCTTCGGTGCCCCGCACAGAGTTGATATGCGGTAAATGTGTGTCCAAAGAGCGAGCCCGCGAGCCGCCCAGACCAGCATCGCCGTCCCCGGCCTGGGGCACGGGGCCTCGCGCTGGGTTCGCCGGCGGCGTCCGCGTGCATGCGCGCACCCGCGCGGCGACCGTATAACAGGCATCAGCCTTTCTGTTTTAAAGCAGATCGACCCATCTGAGCAAAAGACTCTGGCCAATCTGCCGTGGATTGTGGAGCCGGGCCAAGAAACCAAGAGGGGCATTAATACCAAGTATGAAACCACGATTTTCTGATACTCGCCGTCCTCCTGTCCTCGCGGTGCCTTGCTCGCCACGCAGTCCCGGAGCAGGCTTTCCTTCGCGCCTCCGCGTCCACCCAGCCCAGGAGGAAGACTGCTCTGAGCGTGCGGCCTCATTACGGGCGAAAGGCCACTGGCCATTCCTGGGGAAGTTCTTTCTGCACCAGTGACGGAAAATGCCAAGACTTTCCAGTCGCAACCCCTGAGAGGCGTGAGTTGAGATGGGTTTTCCCTGATGCTCCCGACTCCCCGCCCCACCACCTCCCAAGGTATTTCTGATGACTCCGCCCCAGTACGTGCTTTGCTTCATTTGGGGATAATACCTTTTCTTTT